TGATCTAAGTAAAAATCCCTAACCAAAAATCCCTCAAGTGTTTGAGAGATACCAGACCCAAAACTAACTTTAGTGGTGTGAGCATCTGAAGCTTTTTAAGATGCTGAACCATCATCCTTTAATTTATCTAGTTGTTTGAGGAGACCCTGAGAAATTCTTCATTGTCTTCTTAACTAAACTCTTCTGCTCTGTTTTCTTTCTTTGTTTTCATAGTTAAAATGAATATCTCTAATACTATTGAAGCTCAAATGCAAAATTAAACTCAATTCTTTTACCTTAGTGTTAAGGAAATGATTGCCATTGACAATGCTATTTTCAGGCACAATTGAAGCAATGCAAAAAATTAATTTCAGGAATTAGGAGCATGTATTAAAAAATACATTTAAAAATCATTTAAGAAAGCATTTATCAAGAGTAAAAATACTGACGTCTAAAATTAGGACAAAAACAAAACACTCCAGCCAAAATAAATTAACCTCTATGAAAAACCAAGTTACCTCTCACCTGGTATTTTCTTGTAGAAGGGGCACTGTTTTTTTCTTGGTTCTTCACCTGCAGTAGGTAATTCTTTAAATTTTTTTCTCCACCTTCGTTGGCCACCAGAACGGACATCTGCAATGGCTTCATTTTTACCTGAACTTTCTGTAACTCCTTCCACATCTTCCACAGACCCCTCAGCCTTCCTTTTTTGCTGTCTGGGCCTCTTTCCATTAGGAGATACTGAAGCTGGTATCTGCTTTTTCTCATTCAAAGACGCCTCTCCTTTGCGTTCCTCCTTTGCTTTCGGTTTTAACCCAAAGAAAACACCAATGTCCATTTGTTTAAGTTCTTTGGCAGGACTGGATTTAGTGTTCATAGTTGCTAATGAAAGAGATGGCACTGATTTAGAAGAGATGGGGCTGGGAAAGCACACAGCAGCAGTACTAAGATTTCCTTTTTTCTCCACTGCTGTCTGCAAACTCTCCTGGTGAGCTGTTTTATCAATTGCACTGGCAGTCATTTTATTTGTACCAGCTAAAATGTCACTTGGCTCCCTCAAAATATTACTCTTCTGTGTCAGAAGAGAGCCAGCATCTTCTCTGTCTAGCAGTGATGATGTCCCAGTAAAACTCCCATATGCAGAACCCAGAGCACAAGCACCAGCATCTTCTGACTCTGTGGCTCTTGCTTTGGCAGCAGAGGAAATCAATTCTGGCTGTTCAGCCTCCTTGTAACTACAAGCAAAAGAAGATCCACTGGCTACCACCCCTTGCTGAGAATCTAGATGGTTCAGTGTATTTTCTGTACCACAGAGGGTTTTTTTAGTTATGAAATTTTCTATTTTTGCATGCTCATACTGAGGCTTCCTCTGTAAGAGAAGTCCATCAAATGTTTTAAATATCACGGAATTGGAGTCTTCTTCTGAGTTCTGCACTTCAAATAATTCATTCTGTGATACTTTTACTTTCTCCTCCTCTTCCTCTTCACTTTCCTCAAATGTACTTAGTGGTGAGTAAGAAATTCCATAGTCATTGAAGTCTACTCCTGACTGTAGCAGACTTGGCTGACTTGTATCTTTCTCCACACACAGATGTTTTCCTGTTTCACTTTCTTGAGAGGATGCAAAATCAAAAAATTCAAATTTACAATGATTATCTGCCATCTGTGGCAGCTGAAGTGTCTGCTGAGGTTTTTCAACACCTGCAAAAAAGGAAGTGCTTCCACTAATTATATTTAGAGACTTCATTTCTGGTGAACTCCGTACCATTGATGCACAGTCATTGTTTCGGGCGTGCTTTATTTCAGTAGAGGGGTTCTCATTCCCTGAGGTTTCCTCTGCATAACGTGGGGAGCAGCTGGGCTTTGCAGCAGTAGAACATGTCATCTTCATCTCCACAGTGGTTGCCAGAGGGTTTACAAGATACTCCCCTGCCCTGTTTGCTGCAAGCAGAAAATGGCTGTAGCGCTTGTAGTGAGAGGGAATGGTGGAGGTGCACTGCAGACCATCAGGACACTCTGTGGAAAGAAAGAGTCAAAGAAAGGAGCAATGTTAACACCTTTGCAAGTACAGTTGGCACAGTTAAAATAAAAATCGCATGTGACACAGCATTTAGGAGCTTTTTCTTAATACAGCTGCTGGAGGACAGAAGGTACAAGTAAAAATTAATTTTCAAGCTACCACTGCTCTGAGCTGAGCAATGAGAAGCTTCCAGCCTAAAACCAAACAGCTGCTGCTCCTGCAGCACTATGCCTGAATTATGCATCCCATTAACAAGAACATTTAACCCCGTTTCAATGTTGTGCTTCTGTAATCACATGGCTTCTGGTTTAGAATTGTCTCACATTCAAGCAACAAGTTCAGAGAAGTAGTACCAGAAACAGCCAGTACACTTCAAATGTAAGTAACACACAAATAAACCAAACCTCAATTCTGAATGAGCCTGAAATTCCATTTTAAATTGTCTGATATTATGCACTAGGAAAAGAAAGAAAAAAAAGTTGTGTATTTACCTATATGAAGAAAACAGTCAGCATTGAGATGCTAGGAAAAAAATCCATACACTTTCCTAGGCCTTTCCCAGTAACAATTTGCCAGCCTAACTTTGCAGGCTTTTAAAGTGAATGCATAAACCCACCAGAAGGATTTTTCACCTGTTAATTACGGGAGTAAGACAGAAATGAGGTGTTAAAACACCTGCCTTAAATTAAAAGCACTGCCAAAATCAGCATGAAAGGAATTACGTGTCATCGTTCTGAAGAAGAAACTCAAGGAAAGTTATCAAAATATAAAAAGGAAAATGGTTGCATTACCTAAAATAGCCTTTATGCACATTTCCTGACTGTATGCTTTCTGTTTTACAAAAGTTATGAGGTGTATTAAGGGCATAAATTGGATACCTCAATCTGTTTAGATATGGTATCTCCCCATGAAACTGGAATTTGAAATGTGTCAGTTTTATTTTTCTTGTACAGAGCTCAAAAGGAAATGGTTGTTCTATGATACAGGAATGTTAGTCTCTATTTATATATAAAATTTCTAAACGGCAAGCTAACATTTCAAGTAAATTAGCATGTTTCAGCTTCCAAATGTCCATAGACAACAAAACAAATCACATATCAACATGAATACAAGATAATAAAATCTACACCTAGGGAAATAGAAGCTTCATGTCAAAAGTAGCACTCTTCTGCCTGAAGGTTCTTTTCTGACATTGTAACAGGTTTCATTATTTTAAATATGTACATTCAGTTTGTTCAATGAAATACTAAAACTTGATAAACAGCCATGAAACTTTCTCAGAGTTTTGAGATTAGATTCTGAAAGGAGATTTTCATGTCAGATTTCCACGTTTTTCACCAAGAAGCAAACATTTCGTATAAGAAGAGGACTCATCAGTAACAACATAATAAAACATGATAAAAATCATACCAACTACCATTTCAGATTTTGAGCTGAATATAAAAAATTAGGTTTACAGCAACATTTCATGAGAAATTTATAAGTTTTCTCTGAAGGCTTTTTTCTTACTCTATACATACCTTTTTCAATGGGTCCTGGAGTTTCCAAACATTCATAGACGTGCCACTGAGGTGTCTGGACCAATAGCAAAGAGAAGGGCATCTGGCAGCTGGGACAGAATCCATCGTGAACAGGCTTGGCATTTTGTGAGCTCTGTTCTGCCAGGCTGCCCACGCTGTCCTGGGAGTGCACAATACTGTCTTCTTCACATTCATCCACATCCTGACCTGCCCGTGAGCTCTGCTTGGTTTTCTGAGGTGTACCAGTTTTTTCTGTGGATTTCTTTTTCCCATTTCTCTTTCTTTTTGGCCTGCCTTTGCCAACACTTACTTCCTGCACAGGAGTGGAGATGCTCTGTGAGTTACTCTGATGCCTTCGCTTCCTAATGGATTTGTACTCCCAAATGTCCTCTTCCAATAAAGCATCTTCAGACATGTCAACACATTAAATATTCCCCTTTCTTTTAAGCAACAGTTCACAAACCTGCCTTTCCTCCCACTAGTGTATTTTCTCTTCCCTCCACTCTTCACCACCTGAGGAAAAGCTCCAGAAGCCCATGTTAAAAAAGCAACACTGGGCCACAAACCAAGCAGCAGTCCCTGACGGGACAGGAGCATGGTGGATCCTATCCCAAAAACAATTCAACGAACCTCTCTCTGTAGATTTGCAATTTCTCCTGTTACACAGGGCCCGACTCCGCAAAACCTTCCAGGGTGAGCCATGTCCTTCGGCTCGTCCCCAGCATCGCAACCTACACCGGGCCTCGGCGGGGCAGGAAGATTTTAAAAATTCCTGTCCTAGTAGGAAAAAAATTAAAAGAAAACGAGGAAGGATTCAGCTACGGGATCATCGTCGGGGTGTCCCCCCGGAGTGTCCTGTGATGCTCCTCCAGAGGGTCCCCCCGAGCAGGAAAAAAATGAAAAGAAAACGAGGGAGAATTCGGCTACGGGATCATCGTCGGGGTGTCCCAGAGTGTCTCCCCGGAGTGTCCTGTGATGCTCCTCCAGAGGGTCCCGGCGCTGCTCCACGGTGCGTCCCAGTACCTCAGTGCCCGGGATGCTCTCTGCGATGACCCGGGGTCCCCCAGTGTCCCGGTGCCCCGCAGTGTCCCGGGATGTTCCCAGGGATTACCCGGGGACCCGGAGTGCCCAGGATGCCCGCAGGGATGTCCCAGCGCTCCCCAAAGTCCCGGGATATTCCCCGGGATGTCCCGGGTCCCGCCGCTCCCGCGGTGGCGCCTCCCCGGCCGTTTCCCGCCGTGGCCGCGCATTCGCTTCCGCAGGTTCGTCACCGCGGCTGTCACCGATCTCCTCCGCTTCTCCCACTATACGCCCCCCAAAAAGCCACAGATCCCACCGTTTAAATTACTGGAGCCTGGTTTCGACTTTTTCCCGTGCCGCTCAATTTTTACATCTTAAAGAAGCGTAAAACAGCCGGGCGGGATAGACTGGCTGTGTTGAATCTGCTGCGCGGGAGTCTCCGCTGTGCGCTCGCTCTGGGAATGTGCTGCTGTGGAAACCAAGGATACGTAAAAACACGGAATAAGTGAGGACGTCCGGCTTCGAGACAGACGAGTTATTGCGTGTCTGTACTTTGTGCTTTAGTTTCTTCTTCAGTCGCGGTTTTCCGCCCTGGCCCCGCGGGCGGTGCCGAATGTGCGGCGGCGAAGCGCCAGGCCGGTAAACAGCGCCCGGCTGAGGCGATGGCGGCGGGCGGGCTGGCGGGGCTCCTGCCCGCCCAGACACAGCTCGAGTACGCGCTGCTCGACGCCGACACTGCCCAGGAGAAGGAGAACCTGGTCTACCAGTACCTGAAGAAAATGGACAGCCGCGAGCGGGACCTGGCGGTGCCCGAGCTCGGCGGAGGTGGGTGGCGCGGCCCGGGCGGGGCCGGCGGTCCCCGGGAGAGGCGGCGGAGCCCCGGCTCTCCCCGTGTGGGCTTCGCCTGGAGGTGCCGCTGCCTGCGAGGGCCGGGCAGGGCCGGCCCCGTGAGCCGCTGTCTAAATGGCACTTGAACTACAGGAAATGTCACTCCTGGGAGCACCAGGAGGGAAGGGCACGGCAAAAGAACCTCTTTAAACATCCTCTACCTGGTACTGGCTGGAAAAACACGTTCTGTAAAGCCTCTCTTCTAAACCTGTTCCCATCTGTAGTGTGTATTTATATCTGTCGCCTGTGGTCATAGTGAGAACCTTACTAACTCTCCCTGCGTTCTCCTGAGCTCCCTTGGTTTCCCGGAGCATCCCTAAGGATGTTCCCCAGCTCTCTGCTCCATGACTGAGCCGCTCTTGTCAATTTTCACACCCCTGGTAATGCAAACTGTGCTGAAGATGTCATTCATCCTCCTGCGGTGGTTTGCCCCTCTCACACATTGCTATGTCTCTCCTTGTGGCAAGGGGGAAATCAAAATATATCAAAGTATAAGGTCCTGCTCAGGGTCTTTTTGAGTCTCCCTGCAGCTGTGGGAGCTCACATCACACTGCAAGACAGAGAGCTCAGCAGGGGAACTTCAGGGTTCAAATCACACTTGTCATGGGAATGAATTACAGATTTTGGCCAGTGGAGCAAAAGGAATGCTCTCTGCCTAGATTTGGGGCTCTGAATTGAATTTTAGCTTTTGCCATTAGTATTGTTTCAGTGTTCTGTCAAGGCTTATTTTCTCCTCTAAAAAGAGCTCAAAGAAGTAGCCCATGAAAGGTATTTTAATTCTAATGAAAAGGGAGAAATGCTGTAAAATATATAAACTGCCATTTTCTTTTGAAAAGTGAACAGCAAAGCTTCTACACTGTGGGAATAATGCATATACTTGAATTATTCTCATTACTCTCACCAAAGCTAAATGTGTGTGCCTCCATTTATGTTTATAAATATATGGAGAAAGAGAACAGTCCTCCTCTTAGTGAAACACAAAGCAAGCCTCCTGCTGACTTGAGTGGGAATAGCTTCTGGAGCTATAAGAGCTTATTTTCTGAAACTGTCAAAGTGAAAGTTCAAAGACTAGTTAGCTTTGCATTTTATCATAACTGCCTTTTCCTTTTATAAGTTTCAGAAATGCTGAGAGATAATACTGGCAGACCACATTTTAGGATATTTATTCCTTGTCTTGGTACCTGTAATGGGATGAGAGGAGGAAAGAATGTTTTCATGTGCATGTCAAGTGGTTAAAATAAATAACCAGGATTACTGTGTGCGTACCTGAAAAAGTTTTCTTTCTTCCCATATGACAGAATTAATTGATACGTGTAATTTCAAACTTTGAAAATCAAGATCAGAGTTATAAGCACAAGAATATTCCATTGATCTCTGAAATCAGTTCTTTACAGAACTGTTTGAAAAAATCATTTAGAGTTTAACACTTCTAAACTTTTAGTAGCCTTTATGTGAGTTTTACATAATTGATTGTTACCCAAATGGCATTGTTGGGGGTTGAATAATGTAGATCATGTTTTAAAATGTATCAAATTTGTTCTGAGGCTTACATGTTCTTTCAATTAAAAAGTGCCTATATAAAAATATAAACTACACTTTCAAATTACAATGAATCTTACTAATAATATTTTCACTTATTAATTATGAAGAATTGCAGAACATAAGGATGAGTTGGATAAATAAAAGATTTTTCTTTGCTTTTCTATGTCCATAAAAAGGGATGTCAAACTCTTTTTTTTTTCTTTCTTTTTTAAATTTTTTTTATGTTAAAAGTACCGAGAACATTGTGTGGTGTTGGTGCCTTTCCCTCCCCTTCCCCTAACTGGCTGTTGCTGTTCTCTGAATTCCAGATCTGCAATGGTTAAACACTGAAGGTCCTATTTCTCTTCACAAAGACCTTTGTGGAAAAGTTGTGGTGTTGGATTTCTTCACTTACTGCTGCATCAATTGCTTGCACCTGCTGCCTGACCTCCATGCCTTAGAGCACCAGTACTCTGATAAAGGTAAAAGTGCTTTGGCTGGCTCCAAATAGAATTTCCTGGCACTCTTGCAGGCTGAGGAGCTGAGTCACTTTGTTGCTGGTTACTAAACTGCTGGCAGTATTTCAGGGGTGTCTAAAAATGTCTTCTAATCTTTTAAGTAGCCTAAAAAAGGTGGCTGTGTGTACTTCCATCACATTTTAAATGGGTTAAATAAAGTGTCTGTTGTGTCTGTGTAATTAGGCAAACAGGATATGTGCTTAAAGCCCAAATCTGATACCTCTATAAATAAAGTGACTCTCAAAAAGCTACTCAAGAATGTGAGATACAGGTGCAAAATTAATATAAGTAGGTAACTTTCTGCCCTTGGCTGAGGAACCAGCTCTGAGAAGAATATCAGTGTGGATCTTCTTCACACCAGGCAAACGAGATTTACTAATTCCTGGGAGAAAGGGAAGAGGAGACTTGTTGGCTTGAGAAGGTTGAGAAAGATAAAAGCTGAAAGAGCAAAACATCTTGCTTGGGCAAAGCATCTGTCTCATAATGCGTTTGGATCTTCAGTTTCTTGTTTGAATACTTGAAGGAATATTTTTTCTTAGTTACAGGAACAAACCTTGATGTAATTGATGTACATTGTGTACATACATGCTCTGATGACTTTGTTTCAAATGCCCTTACGTGGAGCATGTTGAAACTTCAGCTGTGTGATCACCAGACAGAGGAAGTTTAAACACAGGAGGCTATAATGTTAGGGTGATCCTAAATCATTATAAATGTTATAGCACATGTGCCATAGCTCTATTGTCTGGAAGTTCAGGAGATCTGTTTCAAAGTGAGGGCTGCTTTCCATAGGATTGAATGTCGCCCAGCATCTTTATCTGATATGCTCTCGCTGCTATCTTCAGTGGTGCTATTTCTGTTTTTCAAGTGGCATTCAGAAAGTTATTTTAAACCCCAGTGCATATTCAGTTCATGTTATCAGCAGTCCAGAAATTACTTCTATAAGAGGAAGTACTTTTTAATATTCAGAAATAGCTTGGCATAAATTCAGTGTTGTGCTCTGCTGTAATCCTTCAAAGAAAGTGTTTTAAATGGAGTGTATATTGTTATTTCTGAGCATAGCATCCCTCATTTCCACAGGCATTTTCCTCATGAGGGAATGTTGTACCCTACTTGTGCCGTTCAGGTGTTGACTAGAGAATTGTCTTTCCAGCTTTAATGATGTTTTTGAAGGACAGATACAAGCTCTGGTGCTGATCCCTTCACAGTTAAAATATTTGACCTGCTTTTTGGATTTCAGCAGTTAATGATTGCACAACTTCACCTGTCTGATACTGCAACACTGTTTTCCAGTAGAGTTGATAAGACTGTAACAGTTACAGTGAATTTTTAATTTTTTAAATTGTGAAATTGTTATATTCAAGCCTGCCTTGTTTGTGATGAGTGTTGTTTGTAATTTTGTTGTAGTTGTCAGTGCTGCCATTTTTATTTGAAATGCAGAATACTGTATTGATTTCAGAGGCCTATTCATTGTATCTTTTACTGTTTATCTAGAAGTAATTATGTCCAGGTAATTCTGGAATGCCACGATTTGTTGTTATTTTAGTGGCTCCTAGTTAACTGTGAAAAAGACTTTTCTAAAACATTATGGTTGTGTATAGGAATCAGAAGACAGAGAGGTGTCCTAAGTATCTTAAAAAAACCCAAAGTATCAGTTTAACAGCTACAACTTACCCACAATTATTTTTAAAGTATTTTCTAGCTTAGTCTATAGAGGTTCAGGAACTGAGAACAATTCATGTCAGCCAGCCAGGGAAGTAATGGTCCTAAAATGTGGTAATTTTACCTAATAGTTATTTCTGAGTTTCAGTATTTTCTGTACATAACTATCTATATTCCTACTGAGATAAAATTGCTTTCTGTTTGTTCAAATCCTCTCTCATTCTGGGAAACAGTCAGATTATGAGATAAGTGTTAATTTTTCCTTTTTCTTTTTTTTTCTTTTTTTATTATTATTCAAATATATTTCAGTGGCACAACTTCATTTTTCTTTGCAGATGGTCTTGTTATCGTTGGTGTCCATTCAGCGAAATTCCCAAATGAAAAAGTTCTGGATAACATTAAAAGTGCTGTTCTGAGATACAATATTGTCCACCCTGTAGTAAATGATGCAGATGCAACACTGTGGCACGAGCTGGAAGTGTCCTGCTGGCCAACTCTGGTCATTCTTGGGCCTCGTGGAAATATGCTGTTTTCTCTTGTTGGGGAGGGACACAGAGAGAAATTGTTTTTATTTACTTCTATAACACTGAAATTCTACAAGGAAAGAGGACAAATCAAAGATAACAGCATTGGAATAAAGCTGTACAGAGACTCCCTTCCACCTTCTCCTCTGCTGTTTCCTGGCAAAGTGACTGTAGATGATTCAGGAGGAAGGTTGGTCATAGCAGACACTGGGCATCACAGGATTTTGGTTACTCGTAAAAATGGACAAATTCTACACACTATTGGAGGTAAGGACATATGTGTAAGTTTATTATAGCAATTTCAGTTTAGGATGGAGTGTGTTTGCTGTGCCTCCTGGGCTGATTCTTTTCCTACAGATGGCAGTTGGTAAGCATTGCCAGAATTTTGTTTTGAACTAAAATCACTTTTACTCAGTTTGGGGAGATATAGTGTAAGACCACCAGTGGGAATCTGTTAATACAATTGTCAGAGATGCCTAATTGTTTTTCGTTACTTCATTGTCTAAAGTTCATGTTTTCTTGTGATGTCCAATATGAATTACAAAAATGCATTTAGTATTCCTCTGAAGGAGTTGCAAATGGTTTTAGGTGTAAAGGATATACATCCACAGCAAGCAGCAAGGTAGGGAAAAGACCAGAGACTGCAATGCCTCCCTTTCCAATAGAAGTGAATTTTGAGTTGTAGTGGTGTTGTGAAGAGAGGTTTTTCATTTATGTCTTTTGTTTGGTTATTGAGTTTTTTCAATGGAAGATCATTCCTGTTTAGGATCTCCTCTGGTTTCAAAAGCAGAGGAGAATTACTAAGAACAGTGGCATTCCAGTAAGTACACAGGCACCTGAGAATGCAGTTGCCTTAGTACATATAAGAAGACCTGTCTTCTCATCAGATCTGAGATCATAATGTATAAACAAGTTGTGAAAATATTTTAAATTTAATTACATTTGTTACAAAGTTTATATAAGTTACATTTCAGCTTTACAAAACAAAAATCCATAGTTCCTTTTTGCGAAATAGCAATGTGCTTTACAATGCAAATTAAGACAATTTGCACACACTTTGTATCCTTTACTGTTTCACAAATGAAATTGTTATTTTTTTAGACCTACTAAAATGGTCAGTTACATCTTAGTGCAGCAAGGATGTGACTGTTAGGACAACCAAAACAGACGGATTTAGGAAGCAGTTGAATCCTCAGATTATTGAAAACAATGGTTTGTTTATGTCTCAGAATCAGGACCTGGGTGCTGATGTGTCCTATACTACTGAGTCTGGAATTGACTAATGCTTGCCCCAGGGCAGGATCCTACAAATCTCGTAAAAATACTCTTCTGTTTAAAGAAAGGAGGAGAAATTCTCTTGCTATTTGAAGTAACACTGCATTGTCTAGACAGGCTATTTATCCAAGTTAACCTGATTTATCATTAAGGCATTAGCCTAAATACCTTTCTCCTGTAGGATGTACAAATAGAATTTCTTACAACAAATATGAGAGAATTTGGTTTCTGCTTGATAGGTGAGAAGTCTCTGCCTACAAGCTGACCTTTAGTGTTCTGGAATAGTCATTAAACAGGAATTCAGGAGTGTCCTAAGTTCCAAACTGGTACCCTCCTGCCTGTGGCATTGTTTGCTGTTCCCTTCCCTGGGAATGTGCACCCTCACTCTTAAAGGAGAGCTCCTGGAATCTGACACACCAGTACTTCAGTCCTGTGTGTCTGATAAGTCTAAATTGATTTCTGACAGGAGGTTGTAAAAGTTTGTGTGTTTCAGTGACTCAGTTAAATGATTCAGTGGGCAGAAAATAATGTAATGAAGTTGATAATGCAGTAATAAATGTGGGCATGCACAAAGGTTGAAATTGTTATTTGCATCATAAATCATGGTACACACGTAACTCATACCTAAATGTCTTCTGCTGACACATCCTGCTAATGCACTTTAAATGCTGCCTCCTCTGAAGTACAGTGCTTACCTTCAGACTGTTATGTTCCTTTCTGTTTCCTGACTGCTGTATGCAGAAGAATGTCACTCCATCATTCTTAGTGTTCTTTTGTGTCATTAGTTCCATATCATCTTCTTCCTAATTAGTTTTCTTAATGAGAAAACATTGCTAATCAAATATTAGTTTCATTTGTGATTACACCAAAATCTAAACCAATGATATGGACTTGAGCTTTGGAATTTTTTTTTTCCTGCTGGCTTGCTTTGATGATATACAAAAATAAAAAAAAAAATACCAGAATTTAAACCAATGATAAGGAGTTGAGCTTTGGAATTTTTTTTTCCTGCTGGCTTGCTTTGATGCAGTCAAAAATAATAAAAAAAACCTGTAGTTTTTTATTTTTGTCTTCCATTGTTGCTGTTGTCTTTTAGTGCAATTTAGAGCCCTATTAGGACTCCTCTAGAACAATTTAGAACCCTGTTAAGACTTCTCTTTAAAATATGAGCTTAAAAAAGCAGAGAACTTGTGCAGAATGAGTTCAGAGCTTAATAGCACCAGGCTATTTTGATTACATAGCACAGTGACTAAAATGAGACTACACCAAATAGTAATAATATAAAATGTATAAGGTGCTGCTGTGAAAGCAGCTCCTGGAATATGTAATTCTCCTAGAGGTTTAAATGTGTGCATTTTATTTTTAAAGTGACTTTTTTCAGAAATTACTTTTGAGTTTGCTGTGTTTTATTTATAGGTCCAAACAGTGGAAGGAGAGATGGGGGATTTTCAGAGGCAGCTTTCAACTCACCACAAGGAATCGCTATAAAAAATAATGTTATTTATGTGGCTGATACAGAAAATCACCTAATTAGAAAGGTAACTTTTCCATAAGGAAATTCAAAGTTTAATCTCTTCTACTGTATTCTACTTACTCAGATGAAAATTTACACCACATGAATGACTCTCTAAAAAACATCAGAAAGGAAATTTGGTCCACTATTTTACAAAGAAATACTGTTGTGCAGGGATTTTTTAAGGGCTACATATTGTGCTTCCTTTCGAATGCAAATGAGGTGGTCTACTCCTTATAGCATAACAGGGCTCCAGTTTTAGTTTGGTTTTTTTTTCCTAGTCACTCTTACTTTCCTGTTTTGAGAAACATCTATTCTTAGTACTAGAAGCAAAAACTGGTTTTGTTTCACTTCCAGTAGTGTCAGATTCTTATCTACAGTTATTGTAGTGCTCTGGTGCAGTGAATATCCAAACTTCCGTGGGCTGTTTGGGTCTCCCAAATGCAGGTAAGTGCCCAGAATTAGCTGCAAGTGTTTTCTTTTGGATTAAACACTTGCAAAGTTTTAGCATGTAGGCTTTGGATCTTACATTAGGTTAGGTCAAATTTAGGATAACCAGAAGGAAAATTTGGTGATGCAGTATAATATTGTCTTATTTTGAAGTATTGTGTGCATCTCAGAAGACCTTGGCCTCGGGTCCTCACCAATATCCCATTTGTGATCAGAGGTGCATCCTTAAAGCATCTGAGGTGCCTTTGTACAGATTATTTTATATGGAGATGGGAAATACTTTACAGTATGTGAGTTGTTATGTCATACTCCTATATAATTAAAAACTTAAAAACCACATCCACTGTTTATCTAAGTATTTATCCAGAAATTTGTGATGCTTTCTCCTACAGCTGTTGAGCAAGTTCTCAAAGTTAATTTTTGTTGCACATGGAATAGAGTTCTACACACGTTACAGCATGTAAGTTTTTATGTCATATTCCTATATGAGTTTAAAATTTAAAAAACACATCCATTGTTTATCTAAGTATTTATCCAGAAATTTGTGATGCTTTCTCCTACAGCTGTTGAGCAAGTTCTCAAAGTTAATTTTTGTTGCACATGGAATAGAGTTCTACACACATGATTTTCATTCTGCCTGCTGCTTCCCCACCCCCATACTCCCTGTCCATCAGCAAGCATTGTGATAAAACTTAATTATTTCCCTAAAAAAAACCAATCTAATGCCTGATATTTGTTAGGATTGCTCTGGTTTTGACATTTATCTCAAGTTATCTGTAACTTTGGTCAAGTTAATTTCATATGTTCATTTAATGTGTCATTTTGCTTCACACAGATTGACCTGGAGTTGCAGGTGGTGACCACTGTAGCAGGCATTGGGGTACAAGGTGTTGATAAGGAAGGTGGAGCAAAAGGAGAAGAGCAGCCCATCAGCTCTCCGTGGGATGTGGTCTTTGGAAGTTCAAGTACTGTATCAGTTGAGCTTTAACATCTCATATTTACATGTCTGACTGTTTGCTAAATGTTTTCCTGTTTTGGTATTAATCTGACATAAAAGAAGTAAAGATTTACTGTAAAACTGAGTCTAAAACACAATAGTTTATATTGCAAATGGTAAATGCAGTTCTGCTTTGGATCCTGAAATGTTACTTGATGGAAGAAAAATTCTTTTGTGTCAAGTTATGTAGTTACTGGATCCAAACACAGAAGGAAAAATGATTGCTTTTGTTAGGCCAGTGCCTTAAGCCAGGATCACTTAAGAAGCAGGTACATTTTACAGGAAGCAAGTATTGTCTAAAAGTTCCTTTCCTTGACTATACAGACATGTCCGACCTCTTGTAAATATTTAAGTTTAGGAAATAAAAATAATTTTATTGGGGACCTCTGTTTATTCCTGTTTAGGTGACATAAAATCATTAGACTCAAAATCACTATAGAGTCTGTCAGACAGGAGAGGAATACCTTGGCACAAACCATGCAAGCATCAGGAGGTAAAATAAATCTTTGCATAATAGGATGCAAGAATCACCTTCAGAGGACTTAAGTCACTTTCTTTCCCAATTCACTTAACAAACACCTGAGCCTGGCATCTCATAACTGCCGTGTTTTCAGCTGTTACTGACTGTGAGCCGAAACAGTTTTCTCACGTTTCCATTTCAGTCTAATTTAGAAGTTGCAGGTGCCAGTTTATGAACAATGACAGAACAATGCTTTGATGTGGCATGAAACCCTTAGATTGGTATTTCAGACATGAAAAATTGACTTCCCTTATTGGAATTTATTTTATCTGCAGAAAAACTGGGTGGGGAAGGAGCATGATTTATCTCTAATATCTTGAAATTAGAGGTGCTTTGCAAGTTTAGTAATGTTTTACTGATGTGGAAGCATTTGTTAAAATCTTGTGTCAGTTGTGATGGGGGAAAATACGCTGAAGTGTGAGGGAACATAGAACCACAGAATGGTTTGGGTTAGAGGGGACCTCAAAGACCATTTTTCCCACCCTCCTGCCATGGGCAGGGACATCTTCTACTAGACCAGGTTGCTCAAAGTCTCATCCAGCCTGGTCTTGAACAATTCCCAGGGATGGGGCATCCACAGCTTTCCTGGCCAACCAGTGTCAGTTCCTCAGCATCCTCACAGTCAAGAATTTCTTCCTAATGTAAATCTGCCCTCTGTCAGTGTGAGGCCATTTTCCCTTGTCCTATCACTGCATGCCCTTATCAAAAATCCCTCTCCAGTTCTTGTTTAGCCCCTTTATGTACTGGAAGGTGGTCTAAGGTCTCCTCAGTCTTCTCCAGGCTAAACAGCTCCAACTCTCTCAGCCTGTCTCCATAGCAGAGGTGCTGCTCCAGCTCTCAAATCATCCTTGTGGCCTCCTCTATCCTTGGTCCAACAGGTTCATGAAGCTGCTTCAGAAATGCTCATGGTGTAGAATCTTCTGGTACAAATACATGGTCAGTATAGACAGAGTACAACCTGCAGCCTGGAGGACTTACTTGAGTAACTGGGGTGTTTTCAGACTTAACACTTCCATTAACATGTTTTGTACAGCAAAAAAACAGCTTTTTTTCGGTCTGGTCAGCAACTCTTTACAGTCTGTGCAAGCATGTGGAATCCTACTTGGAGGGGCAAGGAGAAGCCCTGAAAGATAATCTCACTAGGTGTGGGCTGCTGCTAATGCAGGCACGAGTTTTACTGAGTTTTGTACAATCTGGTTTTCCTTTTGTGAATTATGAGAGTTGTGTGGCTGGGTGGAGTCATTTTCAAGAGATCTTGAACCAGAAAGCTGATCCCTGTGGGATGTTATTGCAGAGCTGTTTCACAGATCAACAGAGGGGACTAATAACTGATCAGTGCTTCAGAAACTTGAGCTGGTTAACAGAACTATTCAAAGTATCCTATAATTTTACTTTCAGTTTTTCATTATGCTTTCTTCTGCTTCTGTCAGTAGTTAAATATATGATGATTTTATTTTTTAGTTTTGAGAGCTCTGCTTGTTAAATGTTAATTGATATGATAATTGTTATCAACATGAACATAGTATTTACTGAGTTAGTCACCTGTAGAGGATTAGTCATCTGTACTGTTCAACACTGCTGAATTTTAATAAGTGTTTGCATAGAAATCAGATCTTCTGAATGCACTTTTTTCAGGCCTATGCAGTTTCTTTATATTCAATTAGAACCTACTAGCCAGATGTCTATTTAGATTGCCATAAAATATAATTAAGTAGAGATTAAATAAATTAAAATTCTTTTTTTTTTTCTTTTTTGAGAGGGTAATAAGCCTAACAAAATATAATTAAACAGAGATTAAATCAATTAAAATTCTTTTTTTTTCTTTTTTGAGAGGGTAATAAGCCTAATAGATAAAATGGGGAGAAATATACATTACTGTAATAGCAGTAAATTCTAAAATTCTTTAGAAAAGTACAACTGGAGAGAGTTGTAAAAATGGAAAGTTATATTGAATGGAATGTTAACAGGAATCTGTCTCAGAGCACGAGGAACCAGGGCTGCAGTGCATGTCTAACAAGCTTTTTTTACTGTCATAAGCTGCAGTGACTTCTTTAAGTTTGTTACCAGACATCAAAATAGTTTGTCAGAAATGCAACAGGGCTTGCCAAAGTTGCATTGTTGGGTTGCAGATTGTAAAGTTGAGTCACAACTTGCTTGAGCATGGTGGGATCTTCTGCTACTCTGCAGTGTAACATCAGGTGCATTTGTGCCTCTCAGAGTGCCCTCCTACAACTTCTACCGTTACCAGAACATTAAAACTGGCCTGCAGTGTCTGTTCAGGCAGCTGCATGGGTGAAGTAATTTATGAGAGTTTCAAAAATTATTTTTGTTGGCACCCACACAGCAGTGTCCTTTTTTTTATGCTTATATCTTTCTGTGCAAGTTGTAGGAGTTAACATGCACTTCAACAAATGTAGGTTCATTATTATAAATTTTAAAAGTTTGATTTTTGTGGCATGTGGGACATAACACCATATCTTCCCATTTTCCTTAGATCTATATAGCTTAAACTCTGCAGTTTCAGAAGACAGATTTATAGTTGTTTATTTAAATATATATTGTATAGTTCTTAAACAACTGAGACTTCTGGGAATTTCCTTTCAGTGTCCAAAGCCATGCTATCCAGAACATGAAAGGGAGAAAAAGGAAGTTGAAATGCTTAAGCAGGTTATATACTAAATTAGATAGTGTTAAACAGCTTATGCTGACCTTTTTCAAAGTCTCAAAGGGGAAAGATGGGGAGAGAGAAAGGTTTTTCCTTTCCTGACATTTCTTGACATAGGGTTTAGAGTATGTATTGGCCAACTGAAAAATATTATTTTTTCTTTAAAACCTTAATATGTAGGTGGTTGAGAAATGGAAACTACTGAGAAAAACTTTGAGGACATAGGTAAGTTAATATTCAGAACTGAGGCTATGTAGCATTCTTTTAAGTATCCACATAGTATTTTCCTAAGTAGGCTTTTGTTGCCCTGTTCTATACAGATGCTGAAATCTGAGACAGAGATTAAAGGAGTGTGAAACACCATTTAAACCAAATTTGGCACAAATTTTTCCCTTTGAGGCAGGGGAATTAATGGAGACAAAACAGATGGTAGTATTCAGACAGAGTATTCTTCCTTGTCATCTTTTTTATTTCTTTAGTTGTGGCCACTGAGCTTGTGTTTTACCCTCCTGTTAAAATTCTTGAATGAACTCCATGGATTAAATTCTGGCTTTGCTGAGGTTGGTGCTGAAATTTGCATTGATATAGATTGTGTGGGAAGTAGAAGGGGAGGGACAGCAGCTTAAAAATACATTACAAAATTACTGTGTGCTTTTTTAGCTTTCTCTGTTGTGCCCTGCTATTTTTATTTAGTGGGTGTTGAAAGCAAGTGATACTTTAATGCACAGTTGATTTGAGCATGAAATGTTCTTGATAGCTGCATTCTTGCTGGAAGGAACAGGACAGTGACCTGTGCTTGGTGACTTAACCATGTGTTTCACATTCCAAAATCTGGTCTTAAACTGCATGATCGGAATCTATTTATAGAAACTCCCAAGTACAGTATTGACCATGCTTTCAGTATATTTTTTGGAATTTTTTACAGCAATTTAAGTATTATGTAGATAGGATTTAAATGACAGTACCTTATCATACTGGTGCAATTTTTATAGCCCTTAAAAGGCAAAAGTATGTAAGATATTTTTCATCCTTCTCTGTGTTTCTGCTAGAGGGTTATTTGGTACCACTGCATTCCAGAGCAAACATTTTTTTCTTGTATTACTCATGGTGATTCTTTCACAATGTAAAAAAAAAATCACTTAAGCAGTAAACAATTAGCATTTCCTGCTTGAGCTCAGATCATACATGCAGTGTTTATGTGTGAATCTTGTCTGAATCTTGAAGGGATGCTTTCTTCTACATGTCACCTTTTTCCTTCTAATCTGGTCTCATTTGAGGCTGTGGCTGTCACTGTCCTGTGGAAGAAATTTTCCTGGGTAATAGCTGAAAATAAAAGAGCTGCTTTTGCTATCATCAAGCTTTAATTTGGAATGATTTTCCTGGACAAAGCAAAGCTAGAATTCTTCCAAAGATATGTTGTGTATGTGATATGACTTGATGAGGTAGCAATGTGGATTTACTTTGAATGCAAAAGGCCTGCTCATCTCTTTAGCAGTTTCCTGTGCAAAGTACAAGCTCACAGATACACCCATTTGGCTTTGTCATTATACAAGTGTAGTTCCACAGAAAATCATGGTAAGAGGCATCACTGATACAAAACTGCATTGTCTTTATTTTCTTGTTGAACTGAATCCTAAATTACTTGTAAATAGCCATTGTTTTTTATTTGAGATTCTTGGAATTTCAAAGAAGTAACTTCATTAAAGAGAGAGGTGAAGTAAAGTGAAGGTTTTATTCCTGTGTAAGAACTGTTTTAGGTGAAAAAGTCTTTAGAGAAATAAGAAATTAGGAAGTTACAGGGCAGGATTGCAGTGAAGCAGGACCTTACCCAGTCTTTATTTTGGGTTTATGAGTATTGCTGAATAGTAATAGTAAAAAAATAATTGATTAGTATTTCTCATGTTCATTATTTAAACAATTTAAAAAATGAGGTACTTATGTCAATATTTTGGTATAAACATGCCTGTGACATACAAAGGCTGAAGTCTTGCTGTAAGGATATAATGGGAGTAGTGACTGAATATTCCATAGTAATCTTACTCAATTTAGTTTGACAGGCTGCTTTTCCAAGTTGTATTTCTCTGTGTCTTGGCAAAATGCATAATGACAGTGATTACTTTCTGCAATAAAAAAGAAGCAGTTGTATTAGCAGAGTTGCCATCCTAACTGGTGTCAAACTTAGAATTGTTTTGAAGTCCATGACTTGAAACTGCCTTCTCTAAAAGAAGTATTATATTTGTATATGGAGTGATAGATCTCATTCTCTTTGTTCCACAGTCCACAGTCTGATTCTATTAATTAAATCTATGTTCACAATAAAGAAGCTTAAACTACAAATCAGATTTTTAAAGAATAGTTGGCATATCAGTTCTTCATTTCAGATGCAGAACTGCTGAAAATACACATTTTAGTAAGTCTTAGGGAGGCTTTGCTGGTAAGGAGAAGGAGACACATTTTTTTAACTGTTACCATTTGAGGCTGGAAGTGCTTTTGAATATGGAATGCAGGTGTTGGAAGTACCCTCAAGTGTGTGTGTTTGCTGTGCTTAATTAGGAATGAGTAAAACACATAACCAGACTTAGCTCCTTCTGTAGTTACAATGATGTATCCCAACACTAAATAATCCAAATTAGTTCTTTCATATTTGCAAATACTATCTCTTCTTCTTGGGATTTTTTGAAATATTTACTGCCATTACAGTTAGAAGGCCTGAGTTAGAAAACTTGGGAAAGAAATAAAAAAGTATTTAATTACAGTCATAATTTTTAGCTCCCTATTATCCCCACTGTATGAAATCCCCTTGTTATCTAAATCCAAGGATTTCCCTTAATGAGAGGGAAGGTATGTTAACTAAGGAGGAAAATTCCAGAAGCATTTTGTTTTATAAAGGGTCATGCCATTTGCATGATGCAACTCTATGTGAAAGAGTGCCAGGTAGCCAAAAAAAAGAAGAAAATTGATTTTTAGTCATCCAAAAAGTGTTATGTGTACTTGTAAAAGTCCAGGCTTCACTGATAAAGCATTCCTTTCGAGCTTTGGTGAGTTTGTGTGTCACTGACAAGCACTGATTCTGTATTCTTTTGTCACATTTGCATTTAATTTGCTGAACTTCCACTGGCTGAAGAGCAGGTGAGATGTGCATTCACTGTGCACATGCCTGTCTGTGAACTGCAGGGTGTGTTGTGTAGCCCCTTGAGAATTTACTTCTTGAGAATTTGCAGAGGATGAGTTTACCAACTGACTTCTTCCTTGGTTCTTTTTATTTCTTCAAAGATAAAATTAGTAGACAGAAATAATATTTTCAGACTTAGGTCTATTTAAAAAATGTCAGTGGTGCCAGCCACAAAATGTAACTTTGATTCCCAGGCTTTTATTTCCCAGACTGGAAGTAGCCATGCAGTCCCAGATAGAGAGGCTGAAAGTGTGGGTAGTCCTGGGAAAGGAATCCCTTCAAACAGATACTGCTGTGACAGTGCCAAACAAAGTAATTTCTGTGCATTGAGATTGACTCACCAGTAATGGTCAGCAGTGTTCTGACTGTTTGAAGATGTGCCTGTGTACAGACAGGACTGTGAATTCTTAGCACACAGGTGCAGCAGAGGCAGATGCAGGAGCTGCAGCGTTGTGCAGTAACTGAGGCATCATCTAACGGGGAATGTTTGTGCACTCAGAGCTGTAGTTCACTGTTAGGGAATGTTTATAACACAAGGATATCCCATTTGCAAGCCATACCTCACTTGGATACAGGCACAGCGCAGATAAGAAAGCACATACCCTAATAAGGAGAAACTACTCTGCATTTTTAAAACAGCTCAAGATGGGTTGGAATGTGGTGCTTAATTGAATAAATGTAAGAGAATTGCTTTTTTCTCTTATGTTGTTTTATAATAAATTCTTTAGAAATAAATACTTTCCATTCATGGATGATAAGGAATTATTATAATGATGGCATTACCATAATTTTAGCATTCTGGCTCTTCCTGGCCCCCTTCTCCCATGAGACCTGTACAAGGATAACAGTGGTGATTTCCTCAAACTGTTGTGTTGTGAAAGAAAAAGTTTTTCTGCCTTTTGTGTCAGAACATAAAGAATTAAACCATGTGAGGACTATTGTGTGATAAAATACTTTGGCTATGTAGCATTAGTTTTAATTTTCTGGGGTTTTTTATTATAATTTTTTTATTAAAGCTCTGACGTATTTTCCACAGTTTCACAAAGAGCCTGTGCTGTTTCCATGCTTGCATCCATTCCCTTTGTTCTAACAGCCATTCAGTAGAAAGTATTTGTGTTAAAATTTATGACAGTTATGGAGCTCTTACTTATTTTTACTGCCTTATTCTCTAGTTGAAGAAGAGATCTTCGCTCTATCAATCTTACATATCCAGTAAAATTTTAATTTAGTATTGATACTTTTTTCTCATATTTCATACATCTTGCTGGGTGCAGAATTAGAGTAAGAAGCCTTTTCAATTTTTCAACATCTAGCTGTCACAGGAGAGTTTTCAGTCTGTGGTATTAGAACTGGATAGATGAATGGAACAGATTTTTCAACAGTACTCAGTTCAAGTCTTACTCCTTCATTTAATTGGTGGATAAAGTGAATATTAAATAATTAATAGAACTTTCTGAGATATGAATTGCATAACATAGCAAGATAAAAAAGCTCACTTTCTGAATAGACCAGTGATTTAAACAGTTTTTATTCTGTGGTACTTAGAATAGTAACATCTGAATGTGCAAGATATGCATAATGGAAATAGAAAATCCCGAAGCTGAGCAGTTACTATATAGGAAGGAGTGAAATGATTTCATAATCTCTTTTCTCAACTTAAATCTCTTAGAAACAAGCTCTAATCAAAAAGCGATTGGGACAAGGAGGTGTTGCTTTTGTTTTTTATACTGGAATGGTTTTGGCATTATTGGATCTTTGGTAGTGTTTCTGGTAATTTATAAAATGTGTGTTTTGCAACTCAATTTCTTTTTTGATCCAGAAAAAGTTTTTAGGCACTTTGCAAGTTCGACTTTCATTTTTGGAGCTCTAGTTTATGTAAAAACATAGAGCCACAGGGAGGTGCAGAAAAGAGTCACCAGAGTTACTTTGATAACAGTATTTGGAACTTGTATATTTATCCAAGAAACAGAAAATACTGAAGAAAAACTCTGTTAAAATCATACCAGTAGTGTTCTGAAGAGAGCTCACAGTTTAAGGAAATGAATTCTGGATAAAGAAGGATGCCATTTTTCCTCTCCTGTGGTTTGTAGTGTAGAAAAGATTTAGAATTAGAAGAAGAATGGCAGGATCTCAGTTGGGGGAATGTGGTAATTTCATTTTTTGGACTAACTTGTCAGATTTAAAATGCTTGCAGGCATTTCACATAACATTGCTTTTAATTTAAAACTCCAAACTATTTTGGTTGGTGGTGTGGGGGGGTAATTATCCATGAGATTGTTTTCAGGAGCAGTTATGAGATGCACAGTGCTTTACAAGTTCATGTGAATGCAAACCAATTTGAAGATATTTTTCTGTTGAGTGGATGACGGTTATTCCAATACTTAATATATTTATTTAGAAAAAAACGTGTTGATGTTGTCTGTAACTACAAGGGACAGTGTTAAAAAGATAATACTGGCCTCATTTTAATGCAGTTTTTGAATGTCAACTTTCTGTTCCTTAAGATTTTCAGGAAAGATTAAGAGTAAATTTATTTTGCTTTTGGGTTGTTGGGAGTTTTTTAATTGTCTTCCACAACCTGCATTCATGCATTTTTTACTGCTGTACTGTGATTACATTTAAAGCTATAGAGTACAAATATGTTCTTCAATTTCCACTTGTATAATTTTCTTTGTGAAGTATTATCTGGGCAAGATTTGTGTAGTTATTTATAGACTTAGATTGCTGAATAGTAGTTTTATACTTCAAGTTGAAAAAAAGTAGATGCTTGACACATGCTTGAACACTTCTTGGCCAGAAGGTCACTGTTCCACAGATGTGCATCTTGCATTTGTGACACCACATTTACATGTGCTGAGGGAGAACAACTTGGAAATTGTGTGGTTACTGCAGGGGGAAATTAGAAAATGCCCAGGTCACATTTACTGTTTGAATAAACTGTAGTTGATGCTCTCCAGGGAAAGCATCAGCTACCCTTAGTTTAAAACATGATGTCCTTTGTGTATTATGTACAATGGTATTGCCATGGTTATTTCTTTCAAAAGTTGTTAACAACTCCCTGTAGTTTTTTGGAGTATCTTATTTTGTCACTAGTATAGTAAAAAAAAGAAAAAAAATCAAGATTGCATTGCCCAAAACCATGCTTAGCAAAGATAGGTATTTGTTTGGCTGGTATGAATCAAAAATAGCATGTGAAACAGACACAATAGTAGAATGTTGCAAAGAGCAAATCTCACTTGAAACATTGCCTTTATATGGTAGGGATATAAAAACCACAATTTTTAAACCCCTGGGAATAAAATAGCAAGAAGAAAAGAAGAAAAATGGCAAGAAGAAAAGAAGAAAAATAGCAAGTTTTGGTAGATGAAAGACATTCTCTCTATCTCTCTCTTGCCCTGTTTTTTTTGGTTGTGTTTTATTTTTTTCCCCTATGGGGAAGATGAGTAGGGGGTGGGGGGGACAGCAGGGTTGGTTTGATGATTTCTTTGTGTTATAACATTTCCAAAGTGGGGTTTATTTGATCTGGATTTCTGTCCCTTTCTAAAAGTTTCAGGGACGCAGGAAGATGATGTGTTGTGGATAGCAATGGCAGGCATTCACCAGATATGGGCACTGATGTTGGAAGGTGGAAAACTACCAAAGGGAAGGTAAGCAACTGTACTAAGAGAAATGTGAAATCGCTGCTTGTCTTGATAAAAAGCTTTCAAATCCCAAAGAGAGAGATAATCAAATTAAACTGAAAATAATTTAGTTTAAAGGCTTATATGCTTAAAAGTCTGTCTCCTTTTCCCACGTCTGTTAGATTAAATGAAAGATTCTACTTCAGCTATACAGCTATGACTTGGTAAGGTCCATTCAATATAATTGAATGTTATTTTTCCTTGCATTTGCTGAGTTACCTAGTAATGAATGATGTGCTGAGGTGATAAAAAAGCACAAAGGCATTGAATAATTCCTCACTGCTGCATTACAGTTGGTTTTATAACTCACAAGTGCCAGTTCTGTAGCTTCTGTTTATGCATCTTGTCGGAGCTGTTTCAAACCTGTGATTGAAATTGGGTGCTCTTTGCCTTTAGTGACTTAAAGAAAGGAGTCTGCCTTCGCTTTGCTGGGAGTGGGAACGAGGAGAACAGGAACAATGCTTACCCACACAAGGCAGGGTTTGCCCAGCCCTCGGGGCTCGCCCTGGCCCCAGAGGAGCCCTGGAGCTGCCTGTTCGTGGCCGACAGCGAGAGCAGCACCGTGAGAACCATCTCGCTCAAGGACGGGGCGGTGAAGCACCTTGTAGGAGGAGAGAGAGACCCATTGGTAATCACCTCAAACTTCCCCACACTGCCCTACTAATATTCCTCAAGCGTGACCTGGAGGAACCACTTTTGGGGTGAGAGGGTAAATCAGTTTCCGTGGCCATCAATTTCTTAACTTCACTGCTTGGAATGCAAATGTGTGGCAGTTGTGATGCTCAGGTTGCAGTGCAGATTGTTGCTGCTGAGATAAGAAATTACTTCTCTTATTCTTAAAACAGCCAATTTGATTCAGCATTGTGTGGTCATTAAATCAGCTGGATTCATATTTATAACTTAGTTGTAAGAGTTTTCATTTCTGTGGTTAGCACCCACACTTCCAGGTTTCAGTATCTTTGTTTTGAAATTGTCTTCATTTTTTTTAAAGTCAGTGAATTTCCATTCAATTACAATCATTTAAATTCATGTCCACATTGAATAACCAAATCTATTAATTAAATAAAATAATTTTTCAGAATTTGTTTGCTTTTGGTGATGTGGATGGAGCAGGAATAAATGCAAAGCTGCAGCATCCCTTGGGAGTAACATGGGACAAGAAAAGACAGCTGCTTTATGTGGCAGATTCCTATAATCATAAGGTAAGTGTGTAGTAACTTGTTATATACAGACTTGGAAATTTTTATTACTACAAAGAATTATTTTTGTAACATAGATAGATTTTGCTTGGTCCAGTTGAGCTGAGGAAATGAATTACACGAATTCCTTGGTGGGTTCTTTTTCTTTCCTTCCTTCCTTCCCTTCTGGTTCCTTCTCTTTACAATTGTTTTGCTGTCACATTCTTCTCTGTTGATAAGGTGGTCTCTTGGGGAAGGTGAATTTCAAATGCCAAGTTACAGTTCAGACTAAAGACTTTCTATGTGCCTTCCCAAAGATGCTGAACTACAGTAAAAGAGCTAGCAGGGCTTATTCAGGAATACTGCAGGTTTGATAAAACTGAGAGGACAAGAGGACTTGTTTTTCCCTTTAAAAAGCCACCTAAGTTTTGAGAAGTATTATGGGTTACCTCCATGGAACTCTGGGATAAGAGACATTGTTTTACATGATTGTTATGTGATGTTATATAAGCATCTGTGTCTAGAAGGTTTTTACTGTACACTGACTAGCTGCATTAAAATAGAAGTAACCTGTTTGATTTGAAGAGTATATAACACTAAATATTTATTGAAATTTTAAGGCAAATGATGGGGTTTTTTTTCAGATCTTGTATAGAACATTATAAAATTTTTTGCTATTTAATAAAACCCCATCTATTTGTAGAAGAAAAATAATCTACAAGTTAGCCTGCTAATTTTGCTGTACTCTCACTGTTTTGCAGATGTTTCTAGAAGGGCAGCAAACATTAGAAAAACAAGTCATCCAGCATACTTTTATAGCTGAGGGTTAGGTACCTTCAAAATCATGGAAGGGAACCTGAATGAAGACCAAAGGAAGAAGTGAAATCCATGAGGGAGTGGGGAGAGGGAAAGATGGGACATGTCACAAAGAGTGATAGCACAGCATCTAGGATGGACACCTGGTAGCTGAGGTACTCAAAAAGCAGTGCTGGCTACTGGAAATGTGGGACATGAGATAGTACAGAACATCTAAATCCTGCTGGGTTTTCTCAGAGAAGTTCTTTGTGTCTCTGTTGATCTTAGATTAAGGTTGTGGATCCCAAGATGAAGAACTGTGCTACCCTGGCAGGCACAGGAGAAGCAGGCAGTGTTGTTGGTTCCAGCTTTACCCAGTCAGCTTTCAATGAACCAGGAGGTTTGTGTGTTGAAGAAAACGGCCACCTCATGTATGTTGCAGACACAAATAACCATCAGATTAAAGTGCTGGATTTGGAAACAAAAATTCTTTCCATGGCAAGTAATGCTTATTAAACAGGCTGATAGTGGTGTTTTGTGTTTTAAATTACTATTTCAGACTTCAGCAAGTGTGGTAAAAATGAGACAGATAACTTTGGGTACAGTAGCTGTATCCACAGGATGTTTTGTGATGATCAGGGAAATGAGCATTGCCTGTTAGCACAGTTGTGGAAAGCCTCAGTCTTCAGACAGACAACTTTTGCATGAAAACACAAAGTGACAACCCTCTAGAAAAGGTTAATACAGAAACATCAGTCATTAAAATGTACCACCCATGTTTTCAGCATGAAGGGCATTTCATGAGCATTTTGTGAAAAAAAAAAGAAGCGAAATCAATTACCAAGCCATGTAATTACTCTGTAAGAGATGCTTTTGGGAGGTCACTGACTTAAAGCAAGATATATAAAGGGCTTTCAAGTTGTCAGATCAAAACCACTGTCAAAATTGAGCACAGCTTTATTTGATTGTAAACAAATCTGTGCTCATGTCCACCTTACAATGCCGCTGTATCTTAATGATTTTTGAAATGAATATGCACATATATTTATGACATAATGATCCTAATGTCTTCTTATATGTTTCTTGCACTTAATAATACACAGTCTCCAATGTGTGTTTAAATTTTCATATCATATAACATATTGGTGGCTTTTCTGGGAAATTCTCTTCTATTTTACTGTGCAATATGCATTAGTTAAAATCCTGGATTTTATTACTGAAGCATGCAGTTTAATTAGAAGGAAATGCATTTGCAGTTTATCTAAAGCAAAAATGTAATCCAACTGTAAAAAATTTAAATGAAGGGATATTATAAAGTAGTTATGGTTTTTATGGCTTTAATACTAAATATTGCTTTTATTTGGATTAATCAGGCTTTTTTCATTGTAAGAAAACATTTTTTTCCTTCTCTTTTTTATTTTGTCATAGTATTGTTTCACACTGAAAGTTTTAGGCCAATAGCCATATGATGTCACTTTGAAACTGTGGTTGTGTTATGAAAGTTATGTTATTTGTTTTCAGTACTAATAAAAATAAAAATAAATACTATGTTTGATTTCTACTGATAGTTGCCTATCCTGAAGCCAGAAGCATGTGATGTTCCAGATAACCTGCCTGTGCAAAAGGATAAAATAGCAAACCTGCCAAGACTGCCTAAATCTGCACCAAATATTGAACTTCCTTCACTAACTGTAGCTCCTGGCCAGACAATTCAGTTTTTATTAAAGTTGACTCTTCCTCTGGATTCCAAACTGAACGAGGAAGCTCCCAGTGCCTGGTTTATCACAGCAGAAGGTAAAGTCCCTGGTTAGGATGGGAAGTGAGTTCTGTCAGCACATCCTGCAGTGCAGGGGAGCTCAGTCTGATGAATCAAGATGTCCCTCCCCATCCTGTGTTTCTCTTTGACCTTGTGATGCAATACTTGATATTTAGAGTTGATGCATTTAACAGCTGGAGTGCAAAGATTGAAAAAAGCCAGACACCTGGTAGACTGCTTCTTGCTTGAATTAATACATGCTGAATTATTTTATGGCTCAATGCAATGAGTTAGGTATTTGTAGTGTACAGTGGTTTTTAGTTCACATACTCTCAAATATTTAAATCAAAGTGAAACTCAAGTTTCATTCTAACAATCAGCCTGAGCATTGATAAATTGCACCAACCCACCTATAAGACCAACACTGCTGTTTGGAAATGCCATCATTTTACCTACAGTTTAATGCATTTATGGCAGATATCTCACCTGGTGTATTAGATCTCTGATGCAAATGTATGGTAGCCATTAATTTTAAAAATTTTACTTGTGCATATCAGAATAAATTTTAATATATTTTAAAGACTGTATAGGAGAAACTGCAATTCCATTGTATTTAAATAAGATGTACTGTATATATACACCTATAGTGCTGATGCAAAGCCATGGATCTCTCCTTAAATGACTGGTAAAGCATTTGTAAATTACCTTTCCTTTTTTTTTTTTTTTCTTTTCTGTTCATGACTGCAATAATTGGGAAGGAAATTTCCTCTAATGTTGCATGTTGAAAGTCCTTGTTGTCCTATAGGTAGTATCAGTGTTTTCTGTGGCTTTCAGACATGGTGTTAAATACCCTCATGATAAAATCTGTTCTTCCTTTGCAGATAACACCTGGTTGCTGCAAGGACAATGTCTGACAGGAGAAATAAAGGATGTTTCCTGTCAAACTGTCATTCCCTTTCAGTTGCCTGGGAGCTGTGTGTCAGCTGAAGCCACCCTGGCCATCAAAGCGTGCCTCTACTACTGCAGCAAAGGTAGCAGTGCCTGTATGATGGCAGGAGTCTCCTTCAGCCAGCCCTTGCAGGTCACTGGCACAGACCAAGGCAGCTCAGCCCAAGTGGAACTGATACACACCTTTGTAACCAACTAACACAAAGCCAGCTGATTTCACACTTTATTTTGCTATCCAACATTTCTGTGGGAGAAAGTACAAATAGATGACTTGGCTCTGTTTTTCCTGGAGCTTATGACAAAGCTAAGAAATAATTTGCTTGGTAAAATGAAGTAGTTTTTCTTACAGCTTAACAGGAAAATTTATCATCACAACCTCATTTCTTTACATTACAGTAGCAGCAATAACTTTGTAATACTGCAGACTCTTGTTGCCAATTGTGAACACACTGGATGTCTGCCAGTCTTAAGAAGTGAGCAACAATTTTTAGAGTCCATTTGAAAGAGCTGGTGTTACTTTGTGATGTTACTGTAAGATCTTTGCACTGTAGAGTAGATCATTTTGGACTAACACTTCAAAATTCCTTTTATGCTCTTATTGCATTTTAATAGAATGTCAAAAGGAAGTTCTTTCTCCACTCTATAGAAAAAGTATTTTGCTTATTCTTCTGTGATGACACTTATGACATGTGTTTTTTGAAAATAAACCTTAAACTAGGTGCAGCTCTTGTTTTATGCAAACTGAGCATTTTGCTTTAACTCAACATCACCGCCTTACCTGAAGAACAAAGGTTCATGGGAAATTTCTGTGCAAGGAAGCGTTCAAGCTCCTGCAGAAGAATTTCATGCTGATTTTTAACAAAGAATGTGCCTCACTGCAATGTGTATATGTATATAAAATAACCACCACAAAGCCATGCTGGCGCTTTTCTGATACATACCAATTTACATTTTATAGAAAGTGGTAGGTAATGGTTGAATATCTACACTGCAAAAATTAAATGTCATCCATTTCAAACAGAGTGATTCACTCCCATTTTTATGATTTCTCTGCAAAGACTGTTCTGAAGACTTTGCATATACGTAATATTGTGAAGAATATTACACTCTTGAAGTCTGATTCAGAGTCTTTTGAAGTCACTGTTAGTCCATGGATTTGTTATAGTGGCCACTGAACCAGAATACTTGATAATGGATTATTTACATTCATGTTTAGAGCCTCTGATCTTCTGCTAGAAAACTGGTAACCTTATCTCTGAGTAAAATGCTTTAAAATTCTATTGCAAAACTCTGCCCTTGGTGGTTAAATGTTTTGCAAATGAAATTCCCTCAATTTGCCATAGTAAGAAGGGGCAGGGTGATAGTGGTGGTGCAAGTTCATTTACCTGAGCTGCAAGAGTTTCCATCATGCTTAAGTAATTGGTAAGGCCCTGTGCTCTGGTCATGGTGATCAGTTCTGAGAAGATGATTTTGTTTTAAGTTGAAAGATAGTCACACATACCATAAAGTGCAGTAGTGAAAGAGTTTTTTTATATAGTCTTTTCTAAAACAATTACTCCTGACACCTGTCAGTAAATCCCCACTATCAGTTGTTGTTGCTTTTTCTTACTTAAAGACTGACTGAAATGTTGGTCATGAACCCAAGAGGCTTTTGTTTTAAGGGAGTGGTGTGGTTCTTCCTTCCATTGAAATGCCAGTCTATCTGAGAGTTCTTTGTGGCACCAGAAATGGTTGTTATCTCACCTGTCAGCAAAGCAAGAGCTGAAATGTTATTATTCTTATGTTTGGTTTTTAAGCAAGTTTCCTAATTCACTGTTTCAGCTCCTTTGGGTAAGCCTCTCCATTCTCACATGCCATTTTGAAGGGAGAAAAAGCTTTGATACTTTGTTCACAGATAGCAAATGCTGTTGGAAGGTTGAAGATAAAGGAACTGATTTGGGCATTTATTATTTTTTACACTTTAGTAAAACTTAGTTTTCCACAATTCCTTGTTTGTCTGTTTACCTTTGGATAGTAGCCAGGAAACCTTCAATCAGCTTCAGATAGCCTGCAGATTTTCTGCTGCTCTCTAGAAAAAACAAGCATTAGGTTCAGAAGTTGAGAATAATGAACCAAACCGTCACAGTTACCTTGAACGTGTAATTCATCAGATGGATCTTTTTTCTCTCATTTTGTCCCATCATAGAATGGTTTGGGTGGGAAGATGAGAGATCATCTTGTCCCAACCCCTTGCCATGGACAGGGACACCTTCCACTGGAGCAGGTTCCTCAGAGCTACACCCAGCCTGATTGTGAACAATTTCAGGGATCTGGCATCCCAGCTTCACTGGGCAGCCTGTGACAGTGTCTGACCACTCTCACAGGAAAGAATTCCTTCCCAATAAAATAAATAATAAATCTGCCTTCTTTCAGTCTGAAGCCATTCCCCCTGGTCCTATCCCTGCATGCCCTTGTCAAAAGTCTCTGTCCAGCTCTTGCAGCTCCTTCAGGTACTGGAAGGTGCTAGAAGGTGTCTCCAGTCTTCTCCAGGCTGAACAACCCCAGCTCAGATTTTCAGGTAGAATGACATTATGTTGTACTATTTCAATTAGATCACTTTATCAACTGCCTGTACTCCAATATTAAAAGAAAAAAAAAACAACCCCAAAAGTGTTCACTGTGATTGGCCTTTAATCATAAAGTTTTGTTTGTCCAAGGGATAAGGATACACATTCCCAGAGTCACTGCTTCTGTTTCACTTGTAGTGTACAGATATTCAAATGTTCTGTGATTAGAAAAACACAGATTTTCTTACAGCTTATGATATTTAGGTATACTATTTCCATTTCTTCCTCCAGGGTTTACAAGCTGCTCTTACAGTTAATAACAAGTGCCATAAATTTCACCAGACAGTCAAACTGAATAGCATATACAAGCTACAAGAAATTTATTTAATTACTAGAAAGTATCTTCCAAATATGATGCAGAAAAATGGGAAATGTTACTTTTCTGTAAAAAAGAGTCAGATATATTGATGCTACCTCTTTGTATGGGAACTAAATTTTTTGATGTTCCCTGATATAAAAATTCTAAGCAGGTTGGAATGGCTCAGAACTCCCAGATTTGTTTCTCACAGTAAAAGTTTGTAAATCAAGGTCTTTTCCAAACATGGCTTTCTAGTGGCTTTAATAAGTTTTGCAGCAGACCTTAAAAGACTATAGCAAGTCTCTAAAGAGTATTGGTCGTGGTTGATTTGTATAATGGACACAAGTTCGGTGGAATTTTAAGTTTTTAGTTGTAGTGTTTGCATCTCTGGGACAGCTTTTGGTTTTGAATGGATGTATTAATAGTTCCATGAGATGTTTTTAGTAATTTTATTCAATTGCAGTATAGTATTTTTTGTTAGAATAGAAAAAAGATAAAGTGGCTTCAAAGAGGGAGGATAATTTGTTTTAATAGCTCCTTCATGTTGTTTGAATTCAGTAATATCTTTGTGTAGTTTGGCCCCTTCTGTTGAAGGAAGGGTGGGGATGATGACTGTGTAAATCTCTTGGTGGGCACATATTTTATGCATATATTTTTGGTTGATTTCTTTTTGTGTTAGATTCTTACATAATTTTTAGCTTTCCTATTGGATGCAGTTCTTCACAGTTTGTGTTTGGGGTCTCATATCTTCCACCTGTAGAGCATTATAATGTTTGTGTAATGCTGTGGTAGTGTGGTACCAAGCAAGAGAAAGTAGTTTTATAGCATCAGGTAAATGCCTTAGAAAAAGTGCATATGGCTTCCAATATATTGTGTATGTTCTTAATGCACTGATTTTATTTCAGTAGGAAAATATTGTAGCTGAAACCATGGCTAAAACTGTTTTGTTGAGAGAACATCAAGAAAAGTATATTCTTTACCTCTTGCTCAGAGGAAGGGGATGATGAAAATGAAGAGACTTTCCTTCTAATGTAGGACCATGTCCTTCTGTTCCTTTAATTATTGACTATTTATTTTAGCAAAGCTAGAGGCATTATTGACCACAAATTGTCTTGAATTTTATTCCTAACAAGGTTTTCTATGTACATGGAAGCTTTAAATGTTTGACTTTGTAGTTATGAGTGATATATCTTGTTTGAAATGGTTTTAGTTTAGCAGACAATAGCAGAGATTTATGTACATTCTTAAGATTTGTAATTTTTTAAATCACTGGTATTCATTGACTCAAAGACACTTTGAGGCTACACTCTCACAGAAGTGTGAACTCAAAATTAAGTTTTCTTTGTTGTAGAATGTGTGAGATGGGCTGTGACACGTTGTGTTCTCCAGGCTGCAGTTGTGCTACCTAAGGAGAATTTTCCACACACCTCAGTCACCCCCAGTAATTCTCCACTGAAATCTGCCAGGTCACTTGCTCATATAATCAATTAATATTACTGATTTAGGTTAGCAAACATTTAGCATTCAGAGTTTATCATTACAATTTTCACTGAAGTTGGTTTGTCAGGGATTAAAGGAGCTTCTCTGTCCCAAGCAAACAAAGTATAGGAATGATGACAAGTAATTGGAGATAATTTTTGAAAATGTGAGACCTGGTTATTTTTTAATTAAATCACAGCATCTGTTTTTGCATTCAACAAGAGATCATTAATTTAGAAACAATACTATAATATTCTAGAATATACTAATATTTTACATTCCATTATGTTCATGTAACCAAATTTGACTACTGTCTTCCATTAGAAGCAGCAGATCTATATTTTATAGTTTTTGTACTCTTATAGATAAAGTCACTACTCTCATTTAGGATTAGGATTCATTCCTGTTCAGGACTCATCACACCTATGACTGAGTTTCCAAGTTTATCTTAGTTTCTTTGTCATACAATTTTGGGAGGTTTTGGTTAGGATTTTGGGTCTGTCCGTTCCTCCTGTAGTTTCCACAGTGAAATGCAGCCCGTGTCATGTTACCATGGAGGGATCCAAGTAGGAAGGATAATTCCCTCCACCAGCTCCATGCCCCTCCCCTGCTTCAGGGATGGGGATGTAAACAGCAAGTGATTCTAGACAGCATTAGAGTAAGATGTCCTCAGGTCAAGCTTTGCACTGGTGCAGCTGCTGTCAAGATGTCCTCAGGTCAGATCCATCAAGCTTTGCACTGGTGCAGCTGCTGTCAGAAGTTTTCCCTTTACCTCTGGCCCTGTCCACTGAGGTCCTGCAGTTGTTTGTAGCTGCCCCAGAGCATCCCCTCAAACTTCAGCAGCCTGTGCCGGGATTCTGATGGCTCTTGGTTTCAGGAAACTTTGATGCTAGAGATTAAATACTTCAGCTGCTATAGGTTAAATATTTTAGCTCTTAAGTAATTTGCTGTCTTGTTGCAGGTTATTTAATTGTTGTCAGGTAATGCGCTCCTGCTGCAGATGAGAAGCTGGAAGCTTGGGTGTGAGTTGAGGAATGTTTGTGTAGCTATAATTAAATACTGCTTAGTTTACCTCTTTGGTGGTCCTTTACTTTCAAGCATACCAGGGAGCTCTGTCCAATTGCAGGCTCTAGGGCTAAGCAAAAGAATTGCAAGTATTTTTAAAGTCTTGCCTAGTTCCTTTGAAACATTGACAATTTTGAGCTAAAGAAATCCCGTTTGAAGAAAACCTGTTCATACATCTGCCTTAACTTAATGCTCTGTACTCAACATGCCTCAGAAGAGAGATATTCCACACTGTATTCTTTCCCATTTTGACTAAGGATTGAGAAATTCAACCCATCTGGCCATTGTCAGACTTCATAGAAAGCAAAACAGCAATTTCCAATTTGATTTTACATCCATCTAAAAGAAGAGGAAAAAAATGCCTATTTTCCAAGCTTTTGATTAATCTGAAATACTGAGTTTGAACCATATGTTCAAGGAATCTGTCCTGAGAGTTGCTTGAATCATATTTCCAAATCTGGTTTCCAGATTTCAAAAATTAATTGATAGTAAAGCGGAGAAACAAATTGCTAAATGTTTTATATGTTGAATATTTAACTTCAGAAGTCTGCAATTTCACTTTTAAAATAGAGTTAGAACAACTAAAATGTTCTCCTCTGTCATTCCCATTAATGTACCATTAATCATTGTATCATTAAAACCTGTGGTGGATCTATGTGATTTTGTAAGAAAATCAATAAAGAAGAAGCAGGTGGTTGTTAAACCATGACTGGGTGAAATCCAGGTGCTCTAAGGTTAGCGGAAAATACCTTTAGGGCCAGGAGTTTGGCCCAATGTGACAGAAATTCTGTGTTTTTATTACATCTTGATGGCTGAAGGAAAAAATCAGTGCCTTTTGTAACAATACTTGAAAGTGTTTCTTTAGAGAAATACTGGAGTACTGATTGAAATAAGCTATTTAACCTTCATTGTGTGCAAGTTTCAGAGGGATTTAATTCTACTAATTCTGAAACTGTGAAGAATTTTCCTTCTCTGTCATGTCACTGAATTACTTTGAAATTAAGGTGCTTATTTGTCAAACTCCTTACAAAATACTTCAAAATTAGGTTGTTTCTCAATCTTGTGAGCTTACTCCTGAAATTATTGTTAGCTCTTTTGTACAGTCCAGATCAAATATGGCAGGGAGACTTCAGACAGCTTGCTGAAATCGTGGTTTGAGTGAGATGGAAGGCAAAGGTGACACTTCTTGGTATTTGAGGGACGGAGACTTGGTCTTTGTTTTGGAGTTTTCATCTGTTCTACAGATCAGCAAAGACATGCACTGATAATGGGGCAAAGGTGACACTTCTTGGTAATTGAGTGATGGAGAGTTGGTCTTTGTTTTGGAGTTTTCATCTGTTCTACAGATCAGCAAAGATGCTTTATACAGCAGAGGCTTGTGTGTAGGGGCAGTGAAGAAGGGTCAGGTTATGTCACTGTGAAAATGTGTAACTTCATTTAGGTTGTGCTGCTGGGATCTAAAAATCCCAGCAGTACAATGCTAGTGAGGGAAGTCACATTCAAGCACTTAACACCTTAATAAATGTCTCCAGGTGGTTTAAGGGGAAAGACAGGAATTCTACTTTCTTCTTTGAGAATTTCAGTGTTGCTTTGTAGGAATTGGAAAATTTTGTCTGTTCTTTGAGATACTAAACCTTTGTTTCTCCATTACATTTGATGCAAAGCTTTTCACATATTTGAATATTTTAAAAATGTGGTTTACATTTATTGTTACAAAATATGAGGAGAACTAAAATGGAAGAATTCATCTAAGCTGATCTAGGTAGTGTAAATTCTTCACTGACAGTGTTGCCTAACTGTTCTTAACAATATTCATAGATGATGATATCCTTTATAAATAAAGGGTAAATGTCCTGTAATATTATGAGAACAAATAAATACACTGTAGAAGAAATGTCAGCCTTGGCTATCAAACCAACAGATAAACAGTGATTAAAGAATGTATGCTTTCTCCTGTGCAGCCTCTTTCTCCTTGTAAAGCTTTTTCATGGAAAAATAAACATTAAAAAAATTTATGTTTTCTTTCATGGCTGGGTTTTTCTGTCAATCTTTGTGTGAACATAGATCTAGAAGTTATGAAATGTGTCTGCTGTGAGGGGTTGCAGCTTGAGTAAAAGGCTTTAATTAAGAAGTACTGTGTGTTTCCCACTCCCTTTGCCACAGGCTCTGCAGCCGTGGGTGTCAGTCAGCCCTTCGGTGACCAAGGGTCTGTAAAACAGCCTGAGTTGTGAGGACTCCCCCCTCCAGGGCTCTGGGAACAAGAGATCTGCTTTTATTTTCATTTCTGCACATTAGAAATGGTGCACTGCATGAGTCACAGGCTGCCTGATTGTGTCCTTCAGTTTATTGCAGAGATCCCAGAGCAAATTTAGCTACGGGATGAGATCCCTCTGCATGGAGCTCCACTTGACTCAGTGTTTGTTGCTGTGGTTAGACTGTGCCACACTTTGCAGCATGTGGGTCCCTGTTTAATTATAATTATGGCTGAACTGTATTTTAGCAGCAGTGTCTAAAAAGCATAATTGTTTTACTCTGAGAACAGTTTTGCAGCCTTAACCCAGAACCTGTGGGAACAGGGCAATATTGCAGGCTGTTGTGGGCTCCTGTAGAACTGGAGATGGACACCAACGTGCCTCCAGAGATGATCTATTATTTGTGCTGCTCATCATGTTTTTATTGATACAGTGATTTCTCATTAATGAAAGCATTGTGTGACAAAAATTCTGGATGTCTACTGTAGGTCAACCTTATAAACTGTAGTGTAACTATGTTGAATTTGTGTCATTTCCACCACCCCAATAAAGATTATTCCTCATGTTCATTCATCTATTCAAATATTTAAAATATTTATACACACTACTTATAAAACTCTGCTAACTTTCTTTGATTTCCATGCAGATGCAATATATTCAGCAACAAGTCTAGATTTGGCAGACACTCAAATTCGATTGTAATTTCTCTGTTTTACTAAAAAGTTCATCAAAAGCTTCTACCAAGCTAAACTCAGCAAGTTAAGGTCACACAATCTCTCAGCATCTCAGTGAGCATTTGCCACAGGTCACAAAGCTGAGCCTTGATAGGCTTTGTTGTCATCTCTGAAATGACACCTTTACCCCCAACTTCTGTGTGTTCTTAGAACAGAAATCCTGTGTGAGCACAGACCTGCACATTCTAGCTGCAAACCAGGCTGTGATGTTTTCATGGCTGATGGCATTTGTGGGGCTGAGCTGGGCTGGTGCCTTTTGCCAGAGCCCCGGGAGGCACTGCCTGCTGCAGATTTCTGTGGTCACAAAGCTACTGCTCTAGGAAACTATTAATTAGCTTGTTTCTAAAAGCAAGGGGAAAGAGCCTTTCATGTTAAAATCACTGACAGGGCCAAGATATTTTCTTGTTATTGCAAGGGATTCTGCCATCTCCTGCCAAGAGCAATTTATCTGGAGATTGGGTAAATGGGGCTTTAAACAGGGCTCCCCTCCCTCTGTCCTTCCCATCTGAAGCAGTTTCCTGTGGCTGTTCAAACTCAGGACTCTGCTGCCCTTCTGAATTTTATCTTTTCTGCCTGTCACCCTGGTATTTTGTGCACACAATCCCACCAGGAACTGAAGACAATACCTGATGGCTATTTTACATGCCAGTGTGGGCAGCAAAGTTCCACCATTGCTGTAACTGGGCTTTGGAGGTTTGTGTTCCTCTGCCCTCTGCTTGAAGCACAGAAGTCAAAGCAGAGGTGAGGATTTCAGCCTTTGCCTGTAAAGGAGTAGCTTTCTAAAGTGTTGCTAGAGCAGCACATACTGTTTCTTTTTTTGGAGAAGCATTAGCAAGTTATAACCCTTAGTTAAATCTCCCCATAATTTTACTATCTCAGACATTCCCTTAAGCAAAGTCTGTGGGAATGCCAGTGCTCAGAGCTCCTAGCTCAGGCTGTAAATTCTGAGGATATTTTCCAAACACTGAAGAAAGCTGTAATATTAAGGAGTAGTTAGATATTAATGAAGATTTTGTTTCACTGCAACCAAATATTTAGTCAAACTTACCCTTGTGCTGCATAGCTGTTGAAATCCATTCACCATGGAGCTGCAGTGTTATTTTTGAAGCTATCATTACAATTACTGTCCTTGAGAACTAAATAGTTGTTCTAACACCATCTTTATTTTCCATCAAGAAGGCAGCAACATCAGGTTTAATACCCACTTTAGACAGCAGGACTTGGGTGAGCACATTGCTTCTGCAGGGTGTCTGTGTCTGAGATGACAGCACATAAAGTGTGACGTGTTTTAATCAGAGCAAAGCAGACTCAGCAGTTTAATGATGTTTTTATTGATATAATGATTTATCATTGATGAGAGCATTGATGTGTGTCAGCAGCAAGCGTAAGCAGTCGTTTCATCAAGGTCTGTGCGCCTTCCCTCCTCCTCCTTGAGCACACTGACACACTTGACTAAAGCTGTGATGTTTTCCAAGTTATCTGGGCTTGATACTGAGACACAGAGATCACCAAGAGCAAGAGATATAACATTCTTTCAAAATCTTAATACATTCAGCAAGTGGAACCACAGGATAAAATATAACATTGAAATGCACCCAGCAGTGAGTAGGTGCATCAATGCTTAAGTGGCAGTTAAAT